CGCTGCGCTGCGCAATGCGCCAGACGTGACGCCTTATCGCCATCGACAAGTCCGATGAGTGCCGGCGGTGGGTGTCTCCCACGTCCCCTCCGCTGGAAACCCATGTTTTGAGTGGCTGGATTGTTAGCGAGAAAGGTACCCGTGGGCGGTGTTGGGTGTCGTGTGCTACCTGAGTGCCACTGTCTAGGCTGCATCAGCGCCCGCGCTGCCTAACGATCCAACTAGCCCGCCTGAGGTGGGTTGCTTGTTGCCCATCCATGTTCCCCCATGTACTCCTTCCCTCACCGGTCCACTCATTCACCTGCTTGGGTACTTCGGCTCGTCCTGCACCGCATGACCTCCGATTCATCTCTCCCGACACCATGGTGCGGATGCCCTTCTCACGAGCACCCCGGCCTTGTTTTCCATAATCCTTCTTGGAGGTCACTGATCTCGGTGCACGAGACGTCGTCTGCCCGAAAATTTGCTGCTCTTGCGGCGTATTCTGTTTGCGTATACCATTAGCTTCTCCGCCCGGCACCTCAAACATTCCTCCCGTTAACTCTGTCCGTCATCGTCATTCTCCAACCTTCGATACCCGGCCTTATTTACCCATCAGCCCGCGTTCCGACTGATCCAAGAGCACGCGAAAATACTCTGAGGGGACGAGGTCCTCGCTAACCGCAGCACCATGTTCTCGGAATGTACGTCCTCCGTCCACCGCTCATTCTCTGCCATGCGGTGAACTAACAAGGTCCTCCTCAGATGCGTCCAGGTTCCTGGCGCAGTCACAGTCGCGGCTTTCCAACTTCGCAGGCCAGCAGCCCGACGGCAACGAAAACCCACCACGACACCCGAACGACTGGTCATCATCACGGCCTCCACGAAATGGCGGGCGCTCGTTTCTTGGCAGAGGATACGCTGGAAACCCTTACCAGCCGGGTGGCTCCCGCTTCGGGCAGTTAGGCTTCGCCTCCCGCATGTCCGCCGCGCAAGATGCGCCGCTGTTCCACAGCACGCTCGATGAGTACATGGAGGAAGACGACGAGGACGAGAGGGATCGTGAGGCAGCGGATATGGCCGCCCTGCACATGTCACGGCGCGTGGCTGCCGCAACCAAAATGGCAGAGAGCTCTGAGACGGAACCGGACGCCAGCCGCGGCTCGCTGGAACAGAGCAGCGAAACACCCGGACGGAGGTATCAGGATAGAGGGCTGAGGAGAGGCATTCGCAGCAGCTGGAATGGGGCTAGGAGCTTCGGTGGGAGGAATCGCGGACGGGACGTCATAGACGAAGAAGCAGAGGACATTCCCCGCGAGGACTCCGACCGAACGTCGGACACCAATCCTAAGATGGTGGATATCGGGCTAGACTCTCAGATCCAGGACGACGACCCGTCTGCCTCTTTGCTGAACGAGGCAGTGACAGACTCAAGCCCGGCCCCGTTTCAGAAGTTCCAGCCTAGGTCCGGCGATCGTAAAGTCCAGCTCAGGAGGGAAGCTACGCAGGAAGACGAGTTCGACGAGGCGCGTAGGGCCAGTTCTGATGACGAGACGCTGCCGGCTACCGTCCCTCTTATCGAAGGGGAAATTTTCAAGTACGACTCCTTTTTCGCATGGATATTCCTGATTGCGCTGGCTGGCTTGGTATCTACGTTTGTGCTCGTCTGGCTTCACACTGGCACACCTAAGAAGGGTTGGGGCGACACCATCTACACGACATTACAAACATCTTTCCACATGCTGGCCGTGGATACGCTCATCTCCATCATCGTGTCACTCGTATGGCTCGCGGCGCTGCGGTCATTCGCCAGACCACTTGCGATGCTGATCCTCGTTGCGGTGCCCATCATCATGTTCTCTTTCTCTTTGTATCCTTTCATTTCCAGCTACGAGGGCTCAACACACGGAGCGAGCTTCCAAGACAGGGCCATGCGATGGGCTGCCTTGGTTCCTGCCATATCAGCGTTCGTCTGGGTCTACACGGCTTACAAGGGCCGCCACGCGATCCGGCAGGCCGTCGAGATTCTCGAGTTCTCGACCAGGATTCTTGCGGCCAACCAGGCTCTGATGCTGCTGGGTTTCGCTTGCCTTGCCGTCATCGTGGTCTGGACATGGGTGTGGATGTGGATGTTTTCGAGGATCTTCTTGGGCGGATACTTCTCAAGAAGACTGGCCAGGTTCATCATCAGCGTCTCTAGCTGGTGGCTCGGGATTTGGTTTGTCCTGATGTACATGTGGACCATCGGGGTGATCAACTCTGTGCAGAGAGCGACGACGGCTGCTACGGTGTCTCAATGGTATTTCCACCGTAACGCGGCGCCTGCCCCGACGTCGAAGGAGATTGTGACGGCGGCGTTCAACCACGCTTCGACGACCATCTTTGGAAGTATCTGCGAGTCTACATTGCTGGCGCTGCTGATCCGGGCGCCTCTTCTTGTGCTGCCTCGCAGGTTTGCTAACATCCTCCAACATGTTGCTGCCATGTGGATCCCAACCCCTATCGCAGCGCTCACGAATCCGATGACCATCACGTACGGTGCAATCCACTCGCAGAACCTGCATACGGCTGCTCGAGGGTTGAGCCAGATGGACTTCATATCGCCGCAGCGGCCGACCACAACCCTGACACCGCAAGTGTTCAGCTCACGGCGGTCCAGCCACTCTCCTCTACTTCCGTACCGGTTAGCGAAGATGTTGCTATACGCGACGCGGTTCATTATGGCCACGGGGCTCGGTTTTGCGGGCTGGGTTATTACGGCAAAGCAGGTCCGGATCGCGCTGCCGGACGGTATGGGAGTGCGAGGGTCGGCGTACGCCTACGTGGTTGGTCTTGTTGCCAGTTTCATTGGGTTTTCGGTTATGGGTGCTATGGAAGGTATTCTTAGCGGCATCCTGGACGCGGTGGTTATTTGCTATGGCAGCGAGCGGCGGATGGCCAGCGGAGGGGGCGCCTACTGCATGGAGGCGGCCTACCTGTTTGGCGAGAGGAATAGGCGGGACGAACGGGGCCTGCCTTGATATATTGATTATTTGCTTACGGTATTGAGTAGATTGTATAGCTGCCAGGATGCGGGACGTAGTTTTGCCCACGCAGCGTGTTAGATGGTATAGATTGTCTGGTTGCAGACACTGATGCTTGGCTTTTCAGTTTGGCGCTTTGGACCTTTAGCTCATGCTCAATCAACCCCAAGGTTCATTCACTGTGCAAGAGAGACAGTCGTTGTCGGGAGAGTGCCAAGCTCGACAATAAGGCGTGTGAGTGGTGGAAGGCGAGGAACGATGTGACTGCGCCACGACCTATTCGCAACGGGCAACTAGCAAAACGCCCGGCGATTTGGTTGTGTGACGGCGGAGGATGTCTTGGCACGGCGGGCGGAGCAGGATTTTATCACGCCCGGTAAGTGTGTCTCGCTGTGCATACAATGTTTCCCGAGCGGGCCCAGGGGTGGTTTGTCGGGCGGTAAAAAAGAACAGTAGCAGCACCACGACGCGGAAATGTAATGTGCACCGCCACGCGGGAAGAATACTTGTTGACGGGATGGCGGTTGTCATCTGGGCATGTAGCCTGGCGCGTGGACTGTGGGACATCGCCACAGCCACTGGCCGCTGTCGTCAGAACTTCCAGAGGCATCTGGACGAGACCGTGGGAGCACCAGCCACGATATTCAGCTTGTTACTTAAGAATCCGTGTACGTTCAGTTTGCATGTCGCCTCTCGCCCCCCTAGGCTGGGCTATCGCGAGATGCAGAGACAGACAAGCAGTCAGGCAGCACCAGCGACTGCGAGTGTGATGACACTGAAGCTTGGCATTGGCTGGAGGTCGTCGGAGGGGTTCAAACTCGTGGATCCCCGCGGTGGGGGCATGGCCCGTGCGAGACGTTTCCAGTCGAGCTTTGGGGGGAGCATGCAGCAGGGTTCCTGCGATGACGTATTTTGCCGGTATCTCCTCTGCGGGAGACCGCGTGCGAGATACATGGGCGAGACTTGCGGTTTCGTGCCGGCTCTCCGGCGTCCCGGGTCGCAGTAGGAAGCAGCAGCACCAGCAGCAGGTGCCCAGGCGAGTTTACCTGCAAGCGAAGGGGCCAGCTAAAGCAGTCAATCACTGGAGAGGAGGGGCAGCAGAGAACTCCAGGCCGGTCAGTGTCGTGGCGGCGGGGCCGGTAGGTAAGGTTCCCAGCAGCGAAAGAGGGGCTATGCCATTTCGCAGCATCTCGCATCACGTCCGTCGCAGCGGAGTGAGGCAGCCAAGACTCGGTCGCAGCTCAAGCAAAAGCCCGGAGGGAAGATGGGCGGGGGGGAGACAGCGGCCCCGATCACATACATAGCGCGAGCGATGGAAGGCAAATGGCGACGGGGCCGCTGGTTCTTTTCGCGGCCGAGGACAGGACCCCTACAGCTCCATCCATGACCGTGTCTCCCGACGCTCCGTTCCAGAAGTTGCTAGGTGCTGTTTTGTTTGGTTTCCACTGAATCCAGTCGGGCCAAATCAAAATCAAATCAGTCAGAATAGCAGGCGAAAGCTAAGGAGGTGTGCTGTGAGCCACAGCCTCATCGCCTCCTTCCAGGGCTCCCTCCCTCCCTACCTAAGGTACATGTATGGATGGAAGGTCCATATCATAAAAGAACCTTAGACCGGCTGCCGCGGAGGGGCGCCATTGGTTCGTGTCCATACGTAGGCACTATCCCGTACAAGCCACGAGGGTACCGATCTACCTGGACCTTAACTGCGTTTAAAACTGAAGACGTAATCCCGGTCTCCCGCGCCAGCTCAAATACCCAACCTATTGCGCCTCCATTACACACCTGACACTTGACACCCCGTCCTCTTTTTCCCTCTTTCCCATCCAAAACCGAAAAAGAACCCTTCCTTTAAGCCTTGGTTCCTCCCCCGAAAGCTTAAAGCTCGCCTCTAACTTTTCTTCCCGCCTGCGACATCAGACATCCATCCTCGACCTCATACACACACACATACAATCACAGACGACACATCGCAGTCGCAAATCAAAGCCTTCAGTACACATGGCCGACAACTTCGCTCCCCCGCCCGGCCCCCCGCCTCCCAAGGCCCCAGAAGTCCCTCCCGGTTGGACCGCCCGCTGGAACGACCAGTACAAAGAATGGTTCGTCCTCAATCCCCTCAAAACGAAGCAAACCACGCCAAACTAACCCCGCGCCTATCACCAGGTTCTACGTAAACCTCCACACAAAGCAGTCCCAATGGGAAAAGCCCACCGAACCAGCCCTGCCCCCTCCCCCTCCTCCCCAGGACGGTGAGCACCCAGACGGCCCTCCTCCGGGCTACGCCCCGAGACCGGGCGACGGCCCCGCGCCACACCCCGTCGACGCGAAGCCGAACCCCTACGAGAACCACAGCGCGACCCCGCAACCACCCGGCGGCGCCGGCGGCCCCTCTAACGCCATGTCAGAAGACGAGCGCCTCGCCCGCCAGCTCCAGGCCGAGGAGGACCAGCGCAACCGCGGCTCCCACTCCCCCATGCCCCCCGGCTACGGCCTGCAGCAGCAACAGCACCAGCAGCCGCAGTCCCCCTTCCCCGAGCAGCTGCCCCCGCGCGTGCAGGAGCGCGGCAAGAGCGGCGGCTTCCTCGGCAAGCTGCTGGGCAAGACCAAGACCGGGAGCAGCAGCCAGGGACAGTACGGCGGCGCCGGAGGCTACCCGCCCCAGCAGCCGCAGTACGGGGGGTACCCCCAACAAGGAGGCTACCCGCCCCAGCAGGGAGGCTACTATCCCCCTCAGCAGGGCGGCTACTACCCCCCGCAACAGCCGCAATACGGAGGCTACGGCGGCGGCGGGTACCCGATGCAGCAGCAGGGCTACGGGGGTTACGGCCGCGGACAGGCAATGGCTGGCGGCAAGAGGCCCGGCGGCGGCGGTATGGGCATGGCCGGTGGTCTGGCTCTCGGTGCCGGCGCCGGTCTGCTTGGTGGCGCGCTGCTTGCGGACCACATTAATGACGAGCAGCACGAGGCATACGCTGAGGGATACAGTAAGTTCTAGCCCCTTCACGCCTTTGAGAACCACTCACTGACGATGGTGTAGATGACGGTAATAACAATGATGATTTCGGCGGTGGTGATGACTTTGGCGGAGACGATTTTGGTGGTGACTTCTAAAAGATCAGACCAGAGTGGTGTCTCTCTGGATGGATTGGGAGGGGGGCCAGGATACAGAAATCTTGCATGGTAATAGCTTGGTTTTCTTGATGACTCTGATATGAGACGGCTGGCATAGTTCTACATTCATATGTTCATAATATGTTGCATGTTTTTTTGCCCTGGGTAAAGTAATCTTACCCGTATGCGGAACTTCTGCAAGGATTTTTAAAGTCAGCGGCCATTATATGCCATGGACCCAAGTTCAAAACCCATTGACCAGTCAATCAAAGTGCCAGGGCGTCGGCCAGGACAACAACTAGATCAGATGACCAGTCTCAGATAAAGATCCATAGGTATCAATGTATAAAGGAAATACTCCTATCCCATCTCTTTGTCACTGTTGCCAGCGTTTTCGGAAGTCTTGCGGTCTTCCTCTCCTCATAACCTCCCTCCCCTCTCCGTGTAGTAAACCACTACCTCCGCACGCCCTTCTCCTTCTTGCCGCTACCGCCGCCGCCGCCGCCGCTCGACGGAGCAGGCGCAGAACCCTCGCTCTTCTTCTCACCGCCCGATCCCGCAAGGAAGGCGGCCATGTCGAAGTTGCCCATGGGGTTCGCACCCGGCTGACCGCCACCGCCGCCGAGGAGGGAGTTCATGGGGTTGCTCTTCTGGCGCTCTTCGAACTCGGCGCGCATCTCGGGGTCCACTGCAGGTTTGCCTCCGTTAGTGATTTCTGTCCGTGAAGATGTGTCATCAATTGGGCGTGAACGTACTGTTGTCCATGAGGTAGGGCATGCCGATAAAGATTCCCATGCTGACGAGACCCAGGAGGATCATGGGGTTCTTGAGGATGGTGAAGACGGAGACTGCGGGCATTTCTCATGGTTAGCCTTTTTGCTTTGCTTTCTTCGGGGGAAACCTGAGAGAAAACGTACACTTGCTCCTCTCGACAAAGTAGTTCTTGCCACCCAGGACCCGCACCTCAAAGCCCTTGGCGCCGTTCTCGAACTCCTTGGAGGCGTACACTTCGCCCTTGTTGTCCCAGTCATTGCCGCGGTACGTCTCCCACGCGGCGAGGGTGCCGTCCTCGGCGACGTCGAGGCGCAGGGGCGCGAAGGCGTGCGTTGCGCAGTGGACGTCGACGAGATAGGACCCGGGCGCCGTGACGTTGTTGAAGACGAAGGTGTTTTGTACGGAGAGCGGCGCGGTGAGCGAGGCACCGAGGGCAGAGAGGCTCGCACGGGTCGAAGGCGGGAGGGTGTACGGGTTCGGGAGGGCCGGGGAGGAAGGGATCTGGAGGGTCAGGGAGGCGGCGAGCGCTGTCGGGAGGTAGAGGAGGGATTGGAGGCGCATTTTGGCGGGTTTTTGGTGGTGATGCGGTGGGAGGTTCTTCGGGTTGTTTGCTGCCTTTCGTATCGTTGGTATAGAGTGACGGAAGGACAGGAGAGTAGAAAAAATCGCGAGGAGGTCAGAGGAGGGGCAGCAGTTCGCAAGGCCGGAGGAGGGGGAGGGGAGGGATTTCTGAGGTTGAGGTCGGAGGTGCAGGTGGAAAGGCGGACGAGGATTGAAGCTTGAGGATGTATGTTGGATGGGACCCCAGCGGGTAGGTGGTGTGTGGTGGTGGTGGGTACCCTTGCTTCCTGGGGAATGAACGGTGGCCAATCACGACGATCCCGTGGCTTTTTTCATCGTCGTCTATCGCGGGCTGGACTTTCACATTCTTGAAGCTTGTGTCTTTTGGAGAACGGGTGGAGGGCGAGCTAAGGTCTGTCGATCGCTGTCTATTTACCGCAAGCTCTAGCTGGAGGATTTCCTGCTTGGATATGGCGGGAATTTTGTGGCGTTGCGGCGGTTAGATTGTCAAATGCCCGCGGGGTCTTAGTTGCTACAGGAAGTGAGTTGCCACGCCCGGGAGTCTCCCCTCTGCCTTGCTCCCCGTTCACTCGGAACATGAGGTGTCTATGGCGACGACAATCCTGTTTCAAGAGGGAGAATTTCTCCTATTTTGCCTTGTTACGAAGAATGCGGAATGGTGCCATGTTTCAAACGACAGAGATTACGTTGCTTTTTCTACGGGTATTCTTCATACAATTCATCCAGTACAACAACGTTGGGTATCCAAAATGCTCCCCTTTTTTTTTCGCAGGAGGCACGCTATGCTTCGCCTTTTTGGTGTTAGAGCATCACACCTACGGCGCCAAGGGTGCGTCGTCCTTCTTCGTCTCCGCGGCGTCCGCAACCTTGCCGTCCTTGGTGGCCGCCGCGGCGTTCTTGAAGGACTGCTCAAAGTCGGCGATGATGTCGTCGATGTGCTCCGTGCCGACCGAGATGCGGATGAGGTCCTGCGGGGCGGATCGTTAGCACTGAACTTGTCGGCCTTTGTAGCATATGAAGGACTAACCTCGCTGACACCCGAGGTGATCTTCTCCTCGTCGGAGAGCTGCTCGTGGGTGGTCGTCCAGGGGCTGCGGCGTGTCAGTCTTCATCTTCCATGGTAAGTGTCGCGCGATGGCAACTCACTGGATAGCCAACGTCTTGGAGTCGCCAACGTTGGCCAGGTTCGAAATCAGCTTGAACCCGTCGACAACCTGGCTACCGGCGCTGCCGCCGCCCTTGACGCCGAAGCTGAGAACACCGCCGAAGCCGCGCTTCAGGTACTTCTTGGCCGTCTCGTGGTACGGGTGGCTCTCGAGACCCGGGTACGAGACCCAGCTGACGTACTGGCTGGCCTCGAGCCACTTGGCGAGGGCGAGGGCGTTCTGCGCGTGGCGCTCGGCGCGGAGGGACAGGGTCTCGATGCCGATGATGAGCTGCTGGGCGGCGAAGGGGTTCAGTGAGGCGCCGAGGTCGCGCAGGATCTCGACGCGGGCGCGGATGATGAAGGTGATGGGGCCGAAGGTCTCCCAGAACTTGAGGCCGTGGTAGCCGTCCGAAGGCTCCGTCATCTGCGGGAAGCGGCCGTTGTCCCACTTGAACTTACCGCTGTCGACGATGACGCCGCCGATGGTGGTGCCGTGGCCGCCGATCCACTTGGTGGCGGAGTGGACGACGATGTCGGCGCCGTGCTCGATGGGGCGGATGAAGTAGCCTCCCGCGCCAAAGGTGTTGTCGACCTTTGCATCGCCAGGTTAGTTCTCTGGGCTCTTTCGCAGTGAGGGTGATGACTTACAATCACGGGAACGCCCTTCTCGTGCGCAACCTTGGCGATCGCCTCCAGGTCGGGAACGTTGTACTTGGGGTTTCCGATGCTCTCAACGTAGACGGCCTTGGTCTTCTCGTCGATCGCGGCGGCAATGTCCTCGACACGGTCACCGTCGACGAACTTCGTGTGGATGCCGAGGCGCGGGAGGAAGACCTTGAACTGGTTGTAGGTGCCGCCGTAGAGGAGAGAGGTAGAGACGATGTTGTCGCCGGCGTGGGCGAGGGCGTTGATTGCAATAAACTGTGCGGCCTGTCCTGAAGAAGTGGCCAGGGCGGCAACACCACCCTCGAGGGCCGCGATGCGCTTCTCAAAGACATCGACGGTGGGCTGGGAGGGGAGCTTGTCAGAGCGGTCGTCATTGGGGCTAGAACAGGAACAAGGCGCGACGTACGTTCATGATACGGCTGTAGATGTTGCCAAACTCCTTGAGGCCAAAGAGCCTCGCGCCGTGGGCGGAATCATTGAAAGTAAAGCTCTACATCGCGATTGACGTTAGCTGTGCGAAGCTTTACAGACCTGCTCGTCGCTGGGGGTACGAACAGTTGTTGCGTAGATTGGGACGGCGCGTGAGTTGGTCGCGGGATCCGGCTCCTGGCTGTGTGTAGTTCGTCCGTCAGTATCGATAGCTCCAGAGCTTAAACATCAGGTAGCTGAGTCTGCAGGGAAGACATCGACGTACCCCGCATGGAGCTGGAGAGTCTCAAAGTTCTTGCTCAATTCGTCGGCCATGGTTACTTCTGTTCTGTGAAGGGTGTGGGAGGATGAGTACGTAGGAGGAGGGGAAGAGAAACTTTCTGGAGCCAGTGTGTCTCGTTAAAAAAGCAACGGCGGCAGCTTTTCAGAGACACGACAGGGCCGGCAACGGAGACAGGACCAGAGCAACGATAGACGGGGCACCGATTACCCGAATAGACTGGGAGGGCTGGGCTACGATGATGCCATTGAGGGGAGATCACACCATAGGTTGGTCTGTTTACATACAATATTGACCTCTACCGATGAATCTTCTTACTCTTTGCGCAAGAGGGAATGACATGGGGTAGGTACTTACACCCCCTTGTCGGGCCCTCCAATTGCTGCTCTTTTCCCAGACGAGGTAGCAGCCGGTAGCTTGGGTGCCCCATCAGAGCTCAACCATTGCTTGGGAAAAATCAATTGGTCATTTGCTGCTATCGCAATTGGGGGTGCTGGGCGCAACGAAAAAGTATCCCGCGCAAAGGCGAGGGTGATGTTGAACGGGGCCGGTTTAGGCAAAGGCCTGTGGGGTTTGGCCAGAGCACGCAATCGACGCTCAAATGTCACTTTGCGGGGCAGAAGGCAGGGGTCGCGCTCCCACTGAGGGGCTTTCGCCCACACGCTGGAGAAAGTTTGGGTTTGCTCACCGGCCGCGGAGGTTCTCGTGGTGGGTGAGCGTGGTGGGTGAGCGTGGCTGACCGAGCTGTTCATGCAGATTGTGTCTGGAAGAGCGAGGTCAGATGTGATCATTGTGGCTGTCTTATGTTGGAGTACGAGAGCATGATGCGGTCCGATGTTTGCATACGGGTGCTTCGTGTCTTTTTGCGGCTCGTCCCGCCTGAGGGCTTCTGGAGACTGAGCGATCCGGCGACTTGACAACGATCGTGTCCGGTCACCGGCTACCGCAGTGGATCCACGATGCCGCGATGCGGTTGTCGGTCGGTGGCTCGGTGGGTGTTGTCGTGGAAGAACGCCTCCCCACAATAGCTTCCTAGCCTGCCCCGAGTTCCTCCAGTGGGATAATGGGATTTGATCTTCTATTCCGGCGGAAAAAAAAAAAAAAAAAAGTTGGGTCACCGGG